CAATGCTAAAACATGAGACAATCTGAGAAACTAGAAAGCCCTCTTAGTTTGTTAATCTTGGCATTAATGCAAACTGTAACTTTGTTGGAGAAATCTTTAACTGTGTTACCAAGGTTTTGTGATGAACCTTCTGACAACAAACTAGTTCATAGGATGACAGAACTTTTTTTGGCTGATTAATCCAAATAAACATCAATGTCCAAAGAAGAGCAGCACTTCATTCACAGGCATCAAATGTCCTTTTCTTGTTATAATTTTTTAAAAATTGCATTCAAATTTCTTGTTGTTCAAACTGTCATTTGGTTTGAGAAATATCACTAGACATTAGGAAACTGTATCCTTAAAACAACATTTTTTGAAATGATTTACAAGTTAGAAACAATGGTCATAGTGCTCTTGGTACTCATAGTGCTAAGAAAGTCAAATCAGTTCAGTTCATATATTTCAAGCATTGGGAATGTTGAATTTCCAGTAACTTGTCTCATGTGAATAATGATTCCAGAATAGCTGAATAAATACACTTGTTTTTGTTCATAAAAGTGAGGAGACAAAAACACAAATCTGTACGTATTTTCCTAAAGAAGCATAAATGGAAATAAGGGCGAAAGTAACTTTGTTCAAACCCTTAACTTTGAGTGAATATCTACTTGTTTAAAAGTTATCCAATGACAGGTACAGTATGTCCAGAGTTGCTCTACTTGGAACTACCTTAAGCACTATTTGTTCTATTTTCCAGACATAAGGAAATATTTTTCAAATACAGTTTGCCACTGGTATCTGTGCAATACCATGAAAATCTTTTGCATTTTGAAGGCAATCCAGGAGACCCTACTTTAAATTTTACAAAGTGATTTCACCATAAATAATATAAAATTTTTAAAATGTTACCCTATTAGCAATACTCGGCATGAAATTGATACCTTCCCTTCTGGAATGCAATTTTAGCAAAAGGATTTAATTTGGCTTAGCAATTTTGATTCATTTTCTTTGCCAAATTGTCCATGAGCACATTCGGTAGATAATTTATTGGAATGCCCTCCATGCATGTCTGCAACATGGTAGAAAAAGACTTCCATTTTCCAACTACTAACTCTCCAAATCCTTCTTTGGTTGAAGTGCAACACCAGTAGATGTGACGACGTATACTTTTTATCCACTTTCCTAAAACTTCCGATCCATTTTGTTCCCTTGCTGCTAAAACCTTTTTACATACAGACTTTGCAACATGCCAGATATCATACAGATGGGTTCTTTCTTTCTGTGTTCCACGTATCCATTTTGCTATTCACAAATGGCAATCAGATACAAACTTCTTTATAACTATGACATCTTTTCTCAAATTCTCAAACCATCTTTGTGCTCCCAACAATTCCATTCCATTGCTGCTACCTGCCTCGTTTGTCTATTGAAAAGAAATGCATCAAATTAGTTTACTTCTCAACACATTCTAGGATATTTCATGACATAGAATAATGCTAAAAACTCGAAAAAAGAATTTATTTGGCAGAGAAGGTGTTGCACCTAGTATATTTGCTGTGTTGCACTTATCTAATCAAAATCCAGGAAAACTAAAAGTCTTTCTTAATTTTAACATAAATAATGAAGCTTTAATGTAAAAGAAACAAAAATAACATGAACAAAAGCATAAAATTGGCCACACTAAAATCTTCTACAAGAGACTTCCTTTTTTAATTCACTCAAAAGATTTCTCTATTTCTTTTGTAGAATAGCTGAAGGCCTATGCATTTGCAAAAATTCTCAGGAATAAAATTCTCCATAATACTGCAATATGAATATGTAGATAACATCTGAACACCTAGAGACCTTCAATTAAAGCCTCACGGGGAAGAAAAATGATGAATGGGGGTATTGGGAAAAATTATAGAGTATTGCCTAAAATATTTACCGCCTGCAAATTCTTCACCAGTCAGAGACAAGATTGCAACATACAGTTTAAACTCGTCTCTTTTCTCTAAGAAACTGCTTTTGAGAAAGGCTCAATCAAAAAAATTGCAAGGATCAATTTTATTTAATTTTTATTTCATCAATACAAGCTAAAAGACTCTTTTTATAATTTGGTAGCTACAGCTGTAATGTATTTATTCTATGTTCACAAAAAACGTGTGACATTACCTGGATGAGCTCAAATGCATAATCTTCAGTATTGTTCGGCAAAGCATTGAATAGAGACCAAATTTTGCACTGTGGCCCATTGAGTTGAAAGGACAATCTCCTGCCCATGAAATGTTTCTTATACTTTCCAGTCTTATATCATAATTATCGCTCATTCAAACATATATGCAATGGACCTTTCTAGAATTTATGGCCAACTTCTAATTTCTGATGTTTTTTTGATATTTTTTGCAAGACATTCAAACTCGCACAAGTCACCTATTCGCATAAGTCAGATAAAATTGGGCAGTCCTGAAAGTCCCACTCACTTTTCTCTTTTCTTTTGCATCAGAGTACATAGTTTTCTAGCTCCAAACTGATCTGACTCATAGATACGAGTTTGACTGTATTGACTTCCAAAATCTTGCTTCAATGAAATACATTTAGTAGTCTTCACTTTTGACAGCTAATGTCCAAGAAGAGCTTTTAAGAGAATGTAGAGAAAAGCAACAGCAAGCACAAGACTGGCCAAAAATAGACAAAAGTGTTTCAAGAAGTGATAAATGCCAATGAAAGGACATCGTCAATTTAAAATCAAAATTCAATATTTGAAACAGTGAATTCTTATACATGATTAGTTCTTGTCTGTATGAATCCCAAAAGGAGAGAATCTGAAGAAAAAGGAACTTCTGATGGTGAAGGTAGGTTCTGGGACTTATTACTGATAAACCCATGTGCTTGCAGACTAACAAGAAACTGCTTATTTTGGTTCCAGCCATCAACATTGCGAAACTCATAAGTATATTTCCTGCAGGGTATGAATATGAATTGAAGATCTTTGGCTGGCTTTTCCACTGAAATGACCCACCACAGTCCTTGCAGGTGTGAGTCACAACAACCATTGTACAATTCTCTCTTATCTTTACAGAGGGCTTTCCAGATTTCATAAATATACTAGATTGTGTGTGGTACAATATGATGCTATAACAACGATCAATGTAAGCGACGCTTCAACCATAGCAAGTTATCAAGTAAAATTGAAAAGCGATGATAGAACTGAAAAACGCTAAACAAAAATGGAATTCGACAAATCCTACACAGTCAAATCCTTACGAGACCCACGCCATTGAATTGGAAGTTCCACAAATGGAAGCCCCAACAGTCTGCCAAAGTTGTGTCATTCTAATTGTGACAAGGGAGGAAAAACAAGCATCAATGGATGGCGGTCAAATTCAAATTGAATAATTTGAGAAAATTTTCCTTTTTCATAGAACGAATTTGTTGAATCATAACCTAGGAAATAAAAGGTTTCAAAAGTTTCATGCTTAATTAGATCAACAAAAGTGCATGTATTTGTATCCTAATTATATTTTTGATCCTACTGTTAGTTTTCTTAATTATATTTAATGTTCAAGGTTTCAGGATATATCAATACAATGAACAGTAAAAGTTTTAAAGTCCAAATAGGGGTAACTTTCATTGTTCCTACTCCAATAGAACAGTAGATGGTCTGCCAATTTGTGGCCATTGTAACCAAGTAAGACATTAACCCGCTTTTGCTATACCCATTACTATCATTCACATTCTGGAATACTGTAAGGTCAGGGTAGGCAGGACAGCACTGCACGGAGAGGTTATGGCAGATTCCAGGCCCCACAACCTCCAAATAGAAATGAGGACTGTAGGGTTTATCATGTAAATGTCGTTAGGGGATCCATTTCCAAACCATCTGAGGCAGATTCTTTGTCTACCTCAGCTACTTTTGTCCCCCTGATTACTCTGATTATCGGTGAAGCTACTGAATCCTTACTCCTGAAGGCTACCATAAATAATATCCCGGTTTTCTGTTTAGTAAAGACAGGTGTTCAAATTACTGTAATTTGTTAGGACTTAACTTCTGAAGCCCCCTGTTGCTACATATAGCCCTGGTTAATGTAGCATGCAATGACGCAAACGACAGGGTTGTCGACACATACAAATAGGACAATGGCTAAGGATCATTACACTACCTCCCCTCTTAAAATCTCCACCCAGGATCAGTGAGTTACGTACTCTCCAAATCTCAATGGGGGGATTAATATTTTGCCTCAAATGAACCGGCCTTTGTAATGGTTGAAGGTCAAGGTTTTGATGTCCCCCCTGCAAACAGTCCCTCTGTCTTTCTAGGTTCCCTGGGGAGAAGTGTACTTCCTCAGCTTCGCGAACCGGGCAGAACGGTTCCCCTTTGTCAAAAGGAACAGTGCAAGTTTTGACATTGTTGTGATGAGCCACAATACTTTTCCCTTCCTTAGATTGAAGTTTATAGTTAACCCCATGACAAGAAATTATCTTGTAAGGGCCAACCCACCTCATACCAAACTTCCAAGACTTGGGGCGGTGCAACCAAACAGTTTGGCTAACCGGGAGGGGTGTCCATTCATTTGGAGCCGAGCCTTTGCATTTCTGACTATTTCTACTACTGAATAGATTTTTCTTAGCTACCTCTGGGACAGTAAAAGGGTGTTTTCGAACAGATGCAGAATATTCTGATTGGCTATGAGGATTCTTCAATGCTACCCCTAAGTCTACCTCTAAATGTGTTCTAGCAATACGACCAAAAACTAATTCATAGGGACTAAAACCAGTTGACTCGTGTGAACTGGTATTGTATGAATTAGGCCTGTCCACCGAAGGTCGAATAATCGGTATTCGGTTACCTGTTTCACTATTCGGTTAGCTGAAGCCCAAAGCGAATATTCGGTTACAAGCGAATAGTTCGAATAGTACGATTATTCGG